ATTAGAAATTGTTAAGAAAGAAATGGAACGCATAAATATTGACATATTAGGCATTGGAGAGATGAGATGGACTGGCATGGGCATTTTGAGTTAGATGACCACATGATATATTACTCTGGAGTGAAAAGGCAAGGAAAAATGGAGTTGCCTTCATAGTAAAAAAGTAATTTCTAGATCCATTTTGAAGTACAACATCGTGAGTGACAGGATTATATCCATACGCTTACAAGGAAATCCAGTGAATACCTATGCCCCCTAGTTCACACACACAAAAAAAATTCAGTCATTGTTGCATAATTTCCTTCCTCTCTTTGCTCTGCCCCAATAGTATTATTCTGAAGCTGGCAATATTTAAGTTGTGATTTGTAGAAGAATACTGAATTTTCCACGGACTGCTAAAATAATTGATGTGTCTTGGAGAAAGTACAGACTTGGAGGCAATGTAGGTGAAGCTTCATCTTTCATACATCATGCTTGGAAAGATGAAAGGACAGTGAAGGAGAGGAAGGACACTCCCCACCCCAACAAGATGGATTGACCCTGTTGCTTCAACCATGGGGTCAAGCGTGTAGGTGATGATGAGGATGGCACAGAAGAGAGAAGGTTTCAGGTAGGCTGTTCGTAGGGTTATTATGATTTGTACCTAACTTGAAGGCACCTAAGAATGCAAGGAGCTCTCTCTTTCCTTATTACCATTCAAAAAAGGATGATCCAACAGAGCATGGAAATGATGAAACTAATCACTATCACTAATTTCACATGCAAGCAAAATCCTACTGAGGATAATTTAAAAAAACTTCCACCAAACGGGAACAGTACAGAGAATTACCAGAAGTACAAGTTGGGTTTAGAAGAGGCTGTGGCATTAAGGACATCAAAGCTAATGTCAGTTGGATCTTGGCCAGGAGCAGACATTACCAGAGGAGGATTGTCTACCTGTCTTTCATTGACTATGCAAAGGCATTTGACTGTGTGGATCACAACAAATTGTGTTGTGGACCACAAAAAATTGAGAAGAATGGAAATCCCAGAACATCTGATTGTGCTCATGTGAAACCTATACTTGGACTAAAAGGCAGTTGTCAGAACAGAGCAGGGAAACACTGCACGGTTCAGGATTAGGAAACTTGTGCATCAGGGATGCATCTCCTGTGCCCATACCTTTGCAATTTATATGGGGAACAGATCATCCAGGAGGTTGGGCTTTATGAGGAGGAATATGGCATCAGGACTGGAGAAAGACTCAGCAACAACCTGCAGTATGCAGATGACACAACCTTGCTTGCTCAAACTGAAGAGGACCTGAAGCATTTGTTTCAGGTCAAGGACTGCAGCTTTCAATACGGACTAAAGCTCAACATCAAGAAAGCAAAGATTCTCACCCGTGGGCCCATTGGCAGCACATGATAGATGGAAAAGAGATTAAGATTGTTAGCAATTTCATCCTCCTCCAATCCACAATCAATACTTCTGGCACTGGCAGTCAAGAAATTAAAAGATGATTGGGAAAATAAGCTGTCAGGTGCCTTTCCAGTGTGCTAAAAGAGCAATGATGTCAGTCTAGAGACTAAGGTGCGCCTGATCCACGCCATGGTCTTCACAGTTACTTGCTATGTATCAGAGATCTGGACAATGACTAAAGACGCTAGAAGGATTGATGACTTTGAGTGCTAGAGAAAAGTATTGAATCTGTCATGGACCTCCTAGAGAACAAACAGATCTATCTTGGAGAAGGTGAAACCAAGTTTCTCCTTGGAGGTAAGGATTTTGACGTGTGTCTCATATACTTTGGGCATGTTGCCAGGAGAGAAGGACATCATACGTGGAAGGGTAGAGCGATAGCACAAGATTGGAAGATCCAAGATGAGACAGATTGACACAGTAACAGAGTTAATGCGGTTAGGTGTGTCGGAATCTGTGAGGCTGGTCAGGATAGGACCGAGTTTAGATCTATTCTTCATATTGTCGTTATGAGTAGCAGGCGACTCGATGGCACATAACAGTCGCTATACTCCAGTTTCGCAGGCTACCGGCTAGCATAGTAAAGTTCCCCTTCCAGGAGCCCAGCCGTGTTTTCTTCAAAACTAGAGCGCGCTATTCTCTACCAATCACCGAGTCCCGTCGTTGACATCGTCCAATCCTAGCGCAGTTTCGGTCCCCCCCTCCCCCCGCTTCTCACGCCGTGCGTCCCACGCGTAACCGGTTACTGGCTCTGCTCACCACTTAGCTGTAGCTGTATGCGCGCTGTTCCACCGTCTCAGCCCTACCTTGTCTGACTGCAGTGCTTGTCGCGTTGCCGCTTGAGCCTGGTGAGCGAGACGTCCGTGGAGAGGACCTGAGGTCGTCGTCTGGGTCGGGGCAAGGCTCTTCCGGCTGGTCGATCCTGTCCCAGCCAGTGGAAGTTAGGCCGAAAAGTCTGTGCGGGTTCGGGAGGGGCAGGCTCGGCTCTCCGGTTCTCTCCTTGTGTGATCTGTGTCCAGTCCCCCTTCCCCCCCCCCCCCCCCCCCCCCCCCCCCCCCCCCCCCCCCCGCTCTCTTGTGCGCCTCTGGGCCCCACAGTCTTGAGGGCTGAAATGCGCAGCTTTTGGCGGCAGCTCCAGTGTTAACGCCCTGGTTACCCTTGGTCTTGGCTCCGCTTTTTTCGTGTAAAGTCCTGCCTGGGAAGGTGACATTATTAGCGCATTGCTGAGAAGTGCGCTCGGCCCTCCGCGTTCGCGTTCCGCTCTTATTTGCCCTCCTCTGGCTGTGTTTAAAGTAGTGAGGAACTTTCTGAAAGAAGGTTAAATACAGAGTCCAGCGCGCTGCCATTTCTTCAGTGTGCACGTCCGTATCCAGGATAAACTAGTCACCAGCCCACAGTGCAGAGTGGAGAAGCCTTGGTGTCCAGCCCTCAGAACACAGCCCTTTGTTTTTGCAGTGAAACAGCTGTCTCCTCCTCGTCCTCCTTGGTGGCTTCCGTTTTCAGCTGGCTCCTGCCTGCTGTAGGTCGCATTCTCATGAATCTGCCCTTTGTTTCCTTCCCCTTTCCTTGGTGGCTTCTGAAAACCCTTGCCCTTGCTTTGAGGACGCATGGCTCCGTGTGTGAAACACTGGACTTAATAGGCCAGCTGCTGGAGAAACATCTGCTCTCTTACATCTGCCTCTTGAAACTGGTTTTAGTGATGGTATAAGTGTATTGTTATAGGAAGATCATTTATGATGTCAGCTGTAAAATAGCAAGGAAATCTCAGAACTAATTTACGTGAGAATATTTGCCAATATTCCTTGCTTAGCACAAGAATACAAATGTAAAAGTATAATTTTGTATTATATTGAGATTTAAAAATTTACAGATTATACTGGTTTGTCTTTTGTGTACATTTTGTTTTATAGCATTGATTACAATTAATATAATTATACTGCCTGATCCACCTCTTATTGTATGTTGTCTTTCTCTTTCTCCCATTTAGATTATTTTAGGAGATGCTAAAAGAAGTTAATAGTTTTATGTACTCATGAAATAGGAAAATCTAACCATGATTTCGGAGATTGTTGCTAAGGATGAGCAGTACACACTTTAAAAAGTGAGTCAATTCAAAGAAAATGCTAAAGTTAAATACAGTTGATCTGTGGACAAGGCAGAAATGGTTTGAGTGCTACATATGAGTGGATAACCATTGTATCATGCTCAGGGGACTTTGCTACTGAGGGGACCTTGCTGCCCAGGGGATCTTGCTGGTAGTATCTTTAAGGGGTCCTGGTGGTGCAGAGATTGATGCTCTCAAGGCTGCCAACTGAAAGGCTGAGGCAGTCCAGCTCCACAAGCCTCAGCAGACAGTCCTCCTATAGGGTGACTGAATTAGAATTGACCCCACGGTCTCAAGTTCGGTTTGGTAGTGCCTGTTTTCCGAGATGTACACCAAATTATTTTCTCCTAAGATTTAAGTTGCCTAATGTTTATGAGTGTTAGTCATGTGAAAATGTTTTATACAGAGTTTGATTTCTAGAAGTGTATTCTGTCATTGCAGCAGAATGGAAGACTTCCGAGGTATTGCTGAAGAGTCATTTCCTAGCTTTATGACTAGTTCCTTCCTTGGTAATAGTGGCATTTTGGAAAATGTCACGATTTCTTCAAATCTTGGCCCCCCTGTTGCTGTTTCCACACTTGCTAGAGATAGAACCACTACTAATAACAGGTAAGATTTGTTTGAACAAGTGATATATTATTTATCTTTTAGGTTTATAAAATCTATGATGTACTGATACATACATAAAATTCTCCCATTTGAGCTTTAAATATGAGTGAGATGACCAGGTATCTAAAATTAGTATAGAAAATAACAAACTCTTTCTGGATTCTGTTGTCTTACTGGATGCATTGATAGGTGGGTTAGGGCTTAAACAACAATATAAACTACTTTTTGTTAGATTCAAAATGGAAATTAACGAAGGGTAGAGAAGCACCCTATTTTCTGTCTATAAATAAGATGTTGAGTCTTAGATAATCTGTAAATTTTGCCCATTTAAAAATACCTGTTCACTTTCTTAACTTCTTTTCCATGTAAACATTTGGTAAGGAGCATTATTTTGGGGATGAAAAGGTTGGATTAGTTCTCTAAAAAGTCTTTTAGTATTTAAAAAAAGTCTTTTTCCTTTAATATTTCTGTGGCTGTATCCTTTAATACTTGTAAACACCTCATTGCTGATACACAAATTTTACATACTTTGAACATAGAATAGTGGTTTTGAACACTATAGGTCCCCTTTTTAACCCCAAGTGATAGTTTTTACTTTCTATGTCATGGTGAGTTTTAAATGTGCATAAGTTAATTTTTTAAAAATGTTATTTTATTAATTTTAATGAACATTTACACATAAGTTAATTTTTAACAATTAAAACAATTTTTGTGTGTACTTATGTAGGTACTCAGATATCCAGGAATCTTACTTGGTAGAAGGAAGATATTCAGTTCCGTCGGAATCATCTCACAGTAGCCAGAGTGATGGTGAACCAAAACAGAGGTTACAGCTTAGCTTTCATGATGACGAGTAAGTGCATACCTTTATCTTATGTTAAAGTGTGGGTCTGTGCAAGATGAAATGTGGTTGCTTCCTTGTGTCCGAGAATCTTTTACCATTTTCTTAGTGGTTTTTAAAATTAAGTTTTTATTTGAATGATGGTTCACAAATTGGTTTTTCTTGCAGATAATCATAGGTGGTTTTTGTCCATAGGTGTTTTATAGCAAAATATAAACATTGTAACTGATTAGTATAATTAATCAATTATAATGTTGAACTAATCCCTTATTATCTTTCCCTTCACTCAACTTAATACTTAATCTTTTTTTTTCCCCCTTCACATAAGACAGGTAATGTACTAACATCATAACAAGGTTTAAAGGTGGTACATGTCGTATGAAAGCATGAACACCCAAAATCATGCTCATGAACCAGAAAAGGATCAACTTAATGTCTTTATTAAGTTTTACTTCCCTCTCTCTTCTAATCCCTGCTAACTATCCATATTCAACTCTTTATTATTTAGAGACTGACACAGAACTTGAAAGTATTTTAATTGCAAATATTTTTCCTCAAATTTTACTTATTTATTTTGGTATTGTTGACAACATGCACAACTAAATATACATCTACTCAGCTGTTTGTGCCTGTATAATTTAGTAACATTGTTAACCTGCTTAGTGCTGTATAGCCATTCTCACCTTCATTTTATGAGTAGTTCCTCTCTCATTAATGTATTCTAACTCCTTATAGTTAATCACAGTCTTTCAGAATATTTTTCTGTATTTAAAAGGAATGTATGCTCACTGAAAAATGTAAAAAATACAGAAAATTATAAGGAAGACAAAGGTCTGTAATTTCCTTAGAGAATAGCCATTTATTACATTTTCATTTGTAGTCTGACTTTCTATGTATATATGTGTAATATATAATACATATTTAAATATTTTTATAAAAATCTGAATAAACAATATACTAATAAATATTAGAAGTTAATACTTTGTGTTCATTTTTCACACAAATCAACTTCATGATCTGTATCATAATTTCAATTAAGTCCATGTTCTTGGGCTCTTGGATTATTTGCCATTATAAATATAATGAACTTTTTTTTTAATAATGAACTTTTTAATGTATACTCACACACCCAGGACCTTATTTTGTTAAGATACATTTATAGAATTGACTTGAGACTATTTACTTTTACATATTACCATATTGTTTTCTTGAAAGCAGTGCTACAGGGATTCAAGGGCTACATGCACACTAATGTTCATGACAACATTATTCCCATAGTCACGAGGTAGAGACAACCCAACTGCTCATCAAAAGATGAATAAAATAGATTTTATTCACAGCTGTACAGAGAATAAAATCCTAATACATGCCATCAAGAAAGCAAGTTATGTGTTGCATGGGTAAATCTATTGACAAAGATTTCTTCAAAGTGTTCAAGAGCAACAGTGTCAGTGATTCAAGTCTTTCAACTAGTTCCTGTGCATGTGAAAGTAGAACAGTGAATAAGTAGGACAGAAGAATTATTGATGGTTTTGAATTGTGGTGTTGGCGAATAATACTGAATATCCGATGCACTGCCAAAACAACAGCCTGTCTTGGAGGAAGTGCAGTCAAAATGTTCCTAAGAGGCAAGGATGGTGAAACTTTATCTCACATACTTTGGGAGTGTCGTAAGGGCCATTTCTTGGAAAAAAGACTTCGTGCTGGGGTAAGTTGAGGTTTAGGGAAGGAGAGGAAGCCCCTTAAAAGAATTGACATAGTGATTGTAGCAGTAGATTTGAACATGATAGATTGTGAGACTGGTGCAGGTTAGGACTGGGTTCTCATCTGTTGTTTATAGGGTCACTGTGAGTTGTGTGTAATTGGTTACACATTGATAGCCTGTTCTTTCCAAGGAGCTGTGGTCATAACCACAAGGAGTTGTGCTGCTAACCCAAAGGTGGCACCTCTCTGGCACTTAGAATTTATTTCAGCTCCATGAGAAAAAGTTGCACAGTCTTCCTCCATGTTATTTACAGCCTCTGAAAACCCACTGGATGGTGCACTTTGAGTTGGTCCTAACTCAACTGCAGTGCGTTTTTTAGTTTGACGATATGTCTGTTTTGCTTTTTGGAGAAGTGCTCAACTGTTTCCTGTAGTGACTATAACATTTTCCATTCCTACTAACAATATAGAAAGGATTTAGTTTTCTTCCTATCCATATTAATACTTGTTATTTTCTCAATTGGTTTGATTATTACAATAGCTGTCCTAGTAGGAATGACAACATGATAGAGGGAAAAAAGATTGAAATTGTCAGTGATTTCGTTTTACTTGCATCTGTCAATTTTAATTGCACTGTCAATACCCATGGAACAGCAGTCAAGAAATTAAAAGGCATGTTAAATTGGGGAAATCTGCCCTCCAGGACCTCTCCAAAGTTTTAAAGAGCAAGGATGTCATTTTAAAGACTAAAGTCCATCTGAAACAAGCCATGATATTTTCAGTTGCTTCTTAGATACTGAAAGTTGGATAATGTTAAAGGATGGCACAAAAAGTATTGATGTCCTTCAATTAGCTGAGAGTATTGAATATCCCATGGACTGTCAAAAGAACAACTAAGTCTGTCTTGAAGAAAGTGCAAGGGTACTCCTTAGATGAGTCTCATTTTGAACATACTCTCTGAAGGAACCAGTATTTGGAGAGAGACATCATGCTGAGAAAGATGGAGGAATAGAGACACCAAGGATGGAGAAAAAGAATAGATTGGTAAACAGCTCGAAGACTGGAACCTCGAACTTAAGCTTCCCTATAACTTTATTGAAAATCACCAGGAAGCAAATCACTAAGAGAATTCTATCCAAATGAAGCTAGGCTCTTTCTATGGACAACCTTATGCTTGTATGAGGAAGGAGGAGTTTGTAAATACAATTCAAGAATGATTAAGACACCTTAGATCTGCCTTGGCGCTTGACCCCTGTGATCTGTCTCAGGAGGAATTTCAAGCTTGTATTTTGTGCCTCCCTCAAATCATGGTTAAAGCATTTGGTTTAACATTTAGATTAATATTTAGTTTGATATTTGGTTTCCCACAGTGGATGGCCAGAGAAAGATAGGAAGACCTTGAGCATGACAGAGATCAGGAGGATAGTTCAGGATAGGATAAAATTCACGTCTGTTTGTAGAGTTGTTGTGATTTGTAGTCAACTCTATAGCACCAAACAATAATAAAATAGGGGTGAACGAATCCCTTGTGTAATAGATGGTTAAACATTGGAGGCACTAACTGGAAGAAATGTGGTTTTGAAACTACTGCTTGGGAGAAGATGAGGGGAGTCTTTCCGGTAAAGATGTATAGCCTTACAAAACCCATGGGCCAGTCTGTACTGTAAGACTGCTGTGAATTTGAATCAACTTGATGAGAGGTTAGTGGAGGTGAGGTGGCATCTACTAAATGTGTTGTTGTTGTTGATTGCTTTCCAGTCGAGCACCGTTCATAGTGACCCTATGAACAAAAGGCCTGAAGGCCCTGTACAACTATCGATGTTTATCAAAGTTCATAGAGTTTCTGGAGGCAGGTTGTTTAGGAAGTGCATGCCACTTCTGCTTCTAAACGAAATGGGTAGATTTAAAAAAAAGAAAAAACAGTTTGAGGTAGACCATATAGTTTACTGATTTAAATAATATGTTTCTTTGTTACATATTTACAGTTGTGCAACTATCACTACCATCAGATTCTACAACATTTTCAACACCACATGCATGTCACACCTGTCCATTAGCAGTTATTCAGTTTGTTCTTCTCTACTTCTAGCCCTTGGAAAATATTATTTTCTGTCATCATGACTTGACTTCAGCCTTTTCATATGATTAAAGTTACAAAATTGATACATAACTTTGACTTGCCCTCTCAGTTGCTCTTCTTTGCCCCAGGTGACCAGAGAGTGCTTGTTGTTGAGTACTATCAGGTCAAAAGAGACCAATAGCTGACCCTCCAGCCAGTTTTCAGAGGATATATGTCACATAGGAAGAGATTGCCTATCCTTCTGTGGATCAGCTAGTGGATTTGAACTTCAAACCTTTGGATTGGTAATGTAATTCCTTGTCACTAAGCCACCAGAATACTTAATTGTGCTCTTGTGAAACTTAGTCCAAGAGGCTGTTGTGAGACCAGAGCAAGGGAACAATACATATTTAAAAAATTAGGAAAATTGTTATGTCAGGGCTGTATCCTTCTCTATACCTATGCAGTCTGAATACTGAGGAAATTATTTTAGAAGCTAGACTGCGAAGAAGAATGTGGCATCAGGCTTGGAGGAGTTATGCAGACGACACAACCTTGCTTGCTGAAAGTGAGGAGGACTTGAAGCTCTTGTTGCAGAAGATCAAATAATGCAGCCTTCTCTATGGATTGCATCTCAATGTCAAGAAAACAAAGATTCTTAACACTGGATCAATAGGCAACATCATGATGGTTGGAGAAAAGATTGAAACTGTCAACAACTTCATCTTACTTGGATGCACAATTAACACCCTTGGTACGAGCAGTCAAGAAATCAGAAGATGTATTGCACTAGGAAAGTCTGTGAGGAGAATTTGAAGCACTTGATGCAGAAGGTTGAATACTGTGACCTTCAGTATGGATTTTGTCTCAACATCAAGAAAACAAAAATCCTCTCCACTCGACCAATAAACATCACGATAGACGGAGAAAGGGTTGAGACTGTTAACAACTTCATCTTACTTAAGTCCACAAGCAATACATTTGGTACCAGTAGTCAGGAGACATACTGCACTTGAAAAACCTCTAGTGAGGGACCTTTCCAAATTATTGAGAAGCAATGTTATCAATTTGTGGACTAAATACGATACACTTGATTCAGTCACTTGCTATATGGTTGAGAGCTGGGTAATGAATAAGGGTGACCAAAGAAGAAGACATGTTGCTTGGAGAGGTTATTCCTTGCAGAGGGATGTCACACTTGGGAAGATGGAAGGATAGTGAAAGACAGGAAGACCTTCAACCAGCGGAT